CATTAGTTAGGGTTTTTGATCATTCAATTTTGAATGCTTTGATCGTTTCCTACGATTTACTTATTTCACCATGACATTTGTGAATATGTGCAAGGTATTGGCACAAGTTTGGACTTTTGCTGAGATAGTATTCTCATACATATTGCTGAAATATTGTTTTTATGGACAAAGAAATTGACTGAATAATATCGACACAGGACAATGACTATTATACAGTATATCAGATAGCATCATAACATGCAAATTGCAATTGTTCTATACACCATAGATTAGGAAATGAATAGATGACTCACTCCTTTAATGTGTTTGACGCTGCAGGCACCCACGCGTGTTCTTGCCAGAGTAATGGCGACCTAGCAAGTAACTGTAGTAAAATGCATTGTAAAATTGACATCGGTGCTACTAAATCCTGTATTTTTATAATTCTGATTTATTTATCAATTAAAACCCCCGAAAGCGGAAAAATATAGGATTTAGTAGCACGAATGTCAATTTCACAATACATTTTATTATCGTTCTTGCTAGTCCGCCATTACTCTGGCAAGAACATGCGTGGTTGCCGCCAGTGTCAAAAACATCAAAGGAGTGAGCCATCTATTCATTTCCTAATCTATAAGCATAGTTTCATACAATTATCGCAACTTTAACAAACCAAGTTTCATGCCGTTTGACGTGAACTTTAGTGGAATTTTAAACTGTTACGGTTTCCCCACAACCTAACCAGACAACTAAACCATGGCAGGCAAGGGAGTTAGTTATACAACTATTCCAGTTGATAATAACAAGTTGTTTTGCAGATCCAGCAAGCACTGTCGCCACAAGGCAGTTTACTCTTTACCATGGGAACTGCATGCAAGGTCGATATGGCTTGGTCAACAAAATCGATTGGTCAAACTAACTCATTGGTTGCCGGTCAAATCCTTATCGAGTGTCAATTTACAAAATTCAAAGCTGGAATAACCTTAAACAACCTGTTATCGTATCAAAACGAAAGAGGTCACCATAATTATATATCTGCAACCAATCGCAACTTGGACTTTTACGTAAATACATTTGCAAAACTGAATATAAGCTATGCTAAATCCTTCGGTGCTGGTCAACTATTAAAACAGAGCAACACAACGAAAACCCACGATGTCTTTCATGACAAACCCAGCAGCGTAGATACTGAAAAAGAATAGCAAATTAGCCTGTATATTACTTGTTGTTTTTCCCAACATTTCTATTGTTTAAACAGTTTTTCTCGACTTTAGCATCAAAGTTTTGGATTTTTGTTGCTACTTCTTAGTAAAACTACCGATATTGAACTAACAATAAATAAAGACAAACTTTAATTTATAAATACTAAAGTTTAATCTGGGTTATACAAATAAACTGACAATTTTAGAAACTTGAAAAAATCACTATCGGGCGGATAAAGCTATCAACCCTTTGTACTACCGACTCGTGCATATTACTATCCAAGTAACACAATTTCAAAATTGAAATTATCTATTACCTTTGCGTCATCTGTTGCGTTAAAAATCTGTATACTCTCCCGAAGTTTAATGGACTCTAACTCCAGCTTTAGAATATCCATGATCTCATCATTGTCAAAAAACAATTTTTGCTCTTTTCGCAAGTCGACGTCGAACTTCAGTAATATTTTAGCAACCCCGATGTGGCCATTCTCGCATGATATTCTTAAAGGAGAACGCAATCTACCATCGCACTTATGTATGTCGTGTACAGCTCCATGTTGGAGAAGATAATCAACAATTAAGTCATTCCCCTGTTTACAAGCCAGAAATAGAACAGTGTTTTCGCCACAATGATCTTCACTTCTTACCTCAGCACCCTGCTCTACTAAATACTTAACAATTTCTAATGAACCAATAATCGCAGCATAGTGAAGAGCAGTCTCATTCAGCACATTTTTACAATTTACTTCAGCACCATGTTCTATTAAATATTTGACAATTTGCAGGGAACCAGCATGAACAGCAAGATGAAGAGCACTTTCATTCCTATCGTTTCGAGAATTCACATTCGCACCATGCTCAACTGAGTACTTGAGAATTTCTAAGGAACCAGATTCAACTCCAAATAGAACTGTATTCTCGCCAAGATTATCTTTATTTGCTACCTCAGCACCATTTTGAATTAAATACTCGACAATTTCTAACGAACGAGTCATCACAGCATAGTCAAGAACTGTTTCATTCCGCACATTTTTACAATTTACCTCAGCATCATGTTCAACTAAATATTTGACAATTTGCAGGGAACCAGTTTGAACAGCAAGGTGAAAAGCACTTTCATTCCTATCGTTTCGAGAATTCACATTCGCACCATGCTCAATTGAATAAATGAGAATTTCTAAAGAACCAGTTTCAACTCCAAATAGAACTGTATTCTCGCCACGATTATCTTTACTTGTTACCTCAGCACCATGTTGAATTAAATACTCGACAATTTCTAACGAACGAGTCATCACAGCATAGTCAAGAACTGTTTCGTTCCACACATTTTTACAATTTACCTCCGCACCTTGTTGGACTAAATGTTTGACAATTTCAAGGGGACCAGATTGAACAGCGAGGTGAAGAACACTTTCCCTTCTATCGTTTTGAGAATTCACTTTCGCTCCGCGTTCAATTAAATATTCAACAATTTCGAAAGAACCAAATTCAACCGCGAAGTTCAGAACAGATTCATTCCACCTGTTTTCAGAATTTACATTCGCACCACGTTCAACTAAATATTTGATCGTTTCCAGCGATCCGGACTCAGCAGCAAAATGCAGAACTGTCTTGTCATACAGATCCTTTTTGTTAACGTCAGCATCACATTCAACCAGTCTTTTTACTTCCTGAATATGTCCTCCTCTAGCTGCGCCCAAAATTCCCGACATACTTTCATATGCATTATTATTATTATTATTATTATTATTATTATTATTATTATTATTATTATTATTATTATTATTATTATTATTATTATTATTATTATTATTATTATTATTATTATCATTATTATTATTGTTATTGTTATTGTTATTATTATTATTAATATTATTATTATTATTATTAGTGATTATTATTGACATTATTGACAAAGCCTTGAAGGGGCTTTTCAGTGATAACGCCGGTTGTTTCACTCACGAATTCATCAATTAGGACATCGCTTTAGTGCAGGAATCTGAAAAAACAAATTATTACCTGTTAACATAAAGAAAACAACATCTTTCGTGCTGCGCGATCGCGGTTCGGACACAATAGGTTAAATTCCTACAAGTACAAACGCCCCCCAGTTATTGCAGTATAAATATAATTGTGAAACTCGTTAATAATTTCGAATAAAAAACACAAATTTTCTCACAAAATATCGTTCATTTATTAAAATTTATTTATCTTCAATATTTTCTATTTCTCAAATACAAAACTTAAGGGACTCATATGAATACATTTTACCTAACTGGATATAGTTGCTTTTCTTCCGCCTTTCAATCTTACCAATAAAATGTCTGTTGTTTTCAAAAATGGCACCGTCCACACCCATGGTATAATAAGCGTTTTTCGTACATTGAACTAATTATCTTTCTGTGCTTTGGAAAAGGCAACATGCTTTTCTAGAAACGTCTCAGTAGCATTTCCCTGCAGATTTCTAGAATTTCCAGCTCACATTATTTCAAGAAACCTTATTATGTCCTTTTATGACATAACCAACCTGCTGCGTATAGTTGGCAAAAACATAAATTTTGCGTACAGCCCAATATTTATATAGTTACTAAATAGTTTCGTACAGACTGGCTGCACTCGTCAGACTAAAATGCTAAAATACTAATAACATGAATATATGGTGAAAAACAGGAAGTTGTATAGTCCCTAAGGTGGTATTATGCTGATGGCGGTAAAATTATGTAAACTATATAAAATTGCTCTATTATCCAAAATTTTCTAATTAAGAAGTCTATTGTTCTATGTTATAAAATTTCCAAGGATAAAATTATTTGCGTGCCGGCACGCGGAAACAAGGTCATTGCGTTTGTTCAAAGTGGAGAGTTGAGGTTTATTAATTATAAAATATTTCTCACATAAACATAAATTACAGATTTATTAGTGGCAGGGTCGTATGGTTACTAACAGCGAGAGCAACCAGGAGCAAAGTAACTAACAGCGAGAGCAACCAGGAGCAAAGTCAAACGTACGTCGGCCTCACTGCTAACACTTTCAAGAAGAGATTCTACAACCACAAATGCACATTTAATAACGAAGCGAAGAAATCAAACACAGAACTTAGCAAGCATATTTGGGAATTAAATAACAGTAAGGCTAAATACCAGATCACTTGGAAAATCTTGAAGCAAGCGAAACCATACGACCCTGCCACTACTAGATGTAATTTATGTTTATGCGAGAAATATTTTATAATTAATAAACCTCAACTCTCCACTTTAAACAAACGCATGCCGCGTGCCGGCACGCAAATAATTTTATCCTTAGAAATTTTATAACATAGAACAATAGACTTCTTAATTAGAAAATTTTGGATAATAGAGCAATTTTATAGTTAACATAATTTTACCTTCATCAGCATAATACCACCTTAGGGACTATACAACTTCCTGTTTTTCACCATATATACATGTTATTAGTATTTTAGAATTTTAGTCTGACGAGTGCAGCCAGTCTGTACGAAACTATTTAGTAACTAAATAAATATGCTATTTTGAACACATTGGTTTCATTCAATTTTCTCGAAGCTCTGGACAGGCTCCATTATGGTGGCCCATTGTAATCATTGTGAATTCAGTAAATAATTTTAAAATAAAATTATTTTTCACGAAGAAAATTAAAAATAAAAAAAATTATAAAAAAATTAAAAAAAAATTAAAAATAAAACATAGATATAAAAATATATGTAAAAAAAAATAAAAAAGCAAATAAAAAAAGCAACAAAAAAAACTAACATGCGATTTTCGTTTTCAATTCTAAAATCAAATGTTCTCGACGTGGCCCATCGTTATCATAGACCAACATGCCTTGCGAACTTTAATGGTAATTTTCAATTGAAATTGTGGAAACAATTGTTTTCGTTCGAAGATTCCACATTCGATTTACGACAAAATGGCGTAGATGAACCAGGTTTGAAAATAATTAAATGCCAAAGTGACGGCCAAAAGAACAATAAATCATAACGGACGCAATAGAAGCCAAAAAGGAACGGCCAGGGAACTAGTTGTTCAATGACTATCCGCCGAACCTGACAACAAACAAACTTTCCGTCCGGTTCAACCACGCGAGTTTGCCGAGTTTGAATACGACGAATTGATGTTGGACAATTTATTAAAGCATGCTTGTGCAACACACTGAACACTTTGGTCTTCCAGTAAAGACCTGTGACATTCTGGTGTCGATTTAACTAGATACATCATCGAAAAGATAAAGTAAGGCCGGGAAAATCAATGTTTCTATTTAATATTTAATTAATTTCTGTCTACATAATGATGTTAGGCAAGTTAAAAAGTTTGCCTGCTAGAAATGTAAACTATGCAAGGATTAATTATTCGTATACTGTTATAAAATTGCCTATATATTATTACCTAAGCACCCCCCTCCCCCCAATATATAAAAGCCATCTCTGACGCTTACATTAGTATATACACTATGAAAGTATTATACAGCCATACAGGTCTGACGCCAGATGCCAATGTGTAAATATTATTGCTCGTCAGACGCTTGTGATTTTCAAACATTGTCCAGTAGTTTAAGCATTTGTCTGCAATAGCTCCCTTACAGGTTGAAATCTTAGTTAAAGTTTACAACTGCACATTGTATTGTTGTCTAGCTGGTAAAAACAGCGGGCTCGTAAAGTACAGGTGTATGTACTACAAAATACCGCAAAAATTTACATGTTCCATATGTTTTGTCTAATGCATGAGTCAATTCCTGGAGTAACCATCCCCCCCCCGGGACACCCCCGGGAATTTGCCCCATAGACAGTTCACGGGGGTCGGGAATTTGCCTTTCATATATGTGCACGGGGGCCGGGTATTGGAGGACCCCGGGGATTTGACAAATGGTTGCCCAGAATCCCACCCACAAATTTTAAGGCAGCAAAACATAGTTTCAGGCAAGCATGTAGGCGCGCTGATCGTATTTTGCGCCCTCGTGGTCAAGGTGGCGTGAAATTTATTGTAAGAATAAGCGAAAATTATACCCTGTGCCATGCAAATTTAAATACAACTATTAAAGGTTTATGTTTTATAATATTCCATAGCAGTTTAATACTATAATGTTATTAAATGACTATGATTATATGCCATTAAAAGTTTAATTAACGTTTACAGTCGATTTCACGAAACTTTGACCACAAATTTCCGAACTTCGTTGCGAAGTTCACAAGATTGTTGCGAAGTTCAAAAGTTCATAATGAGATTCACAAACCAGTTCGTAAACTACGCATTTGATTGGCTTCTTTTACTTCACGGACCAATCAGGGACTTTGTTTACAAATTGGCTTGTGAATTCCAATATGAGCTTCCGAACTTCGCAACGAAGTTCGGAACATTTGTGGTCAAAGTTTCGTGAAATCGACTGTAAAATCGTCCCCGGGGTGGGGCATTTTCCACTCTCAGCTTGCCCAGGGGCCGTGCATTACTCTTCAAGTTGTGTCCCGGCACCCGGGCATTTACACTATCATAACCAATCAAATCAAATGCCCGGATGTGTTCCCAGGGGGGGGGGATGGTTACTCCTGGAATTGACTCATGCAAAATGTATATAATATTGTTCCTTTAATATTTTTTAGTATAGTCTATCGATATATTTTTTCTTCCTGGGGCAAGATTTCATAGACTTACTAATTTTTAAAAATAAATATGGGACAAGATTTCATAGACTTAATATATTTTTTTTAAATAAATATTCTGTGGAAAAAAAATCCAATGTACCACAGAATACCAGTGCAGAGGTGTGTAAGCAACGGTTTATCAAATTGTACCAGAATTTAGTGTGTCATGTTGTATGATAATACTGTGGGATATCGCTTTAGAACTTGATTTAGTTAAAGTTAAACACTAAAATCTGTACAGAATACCAGTGGTATAACCAAAGAATACCAGGTTTATCAATAATTTTGAAAAATTCAGTTTTTCAATGGTAAAATTGATTACACTGTGTGATTCCAGTGTAGTAATAATGTTGTGTTGCCTAGAAAAAGTATTGATCAACATAAATTATGCTGGTTTGCGAACTTATTTTTAAACATTCGGAATTTACAGGCATTATGCCAAAAAAAGTACCAAAAATATAGAATGTTACTTCTTGTTAATCCTGATTATTTTTAAGAATTTTTAAGAAAATATATATTTCTTGTTTTTATATGTCAATTAAGACTAAAACTAAAATATACGGTAATCACAAAAATAAAGTTTATAACTTTAGAGCATATTTCCTTCAAATTTTATATAAGAAATAAATAAGACTGGTATTCTGTGGACCTGTGGTATTCTGTGGTACATACACCTGTGGACAATTTGGCTGTAAATACCTAAACCCTAACCCCAACTTTAACCTGACCTAACCCTTGATTTCTTATAATTCCACATGCTGGAAATGTTTACCACAGCCTTGCTGTACATAACTTAACCCAGCCGTAATCACCTCACCCTCTCCTTAACCTCCATTCAGGCCACCTGTTCATCGGAACATAAGTTCACATGTGCAGTTGTAAACTTTAACTAAGATTTCAAACCTGTAAGGGAGCTATTGCGGACCAATGCTTAAACTACTAGACAACCAAGGATAAGTTTGGTATATAATTTTAGTATGTTCGATAAAGTCAGACCTGTATGGCTGTATCCCGTAAACCTCCAAATCTAAGCCTCCCCCTCCCCCCCGAATATAAGCCCACCACATGAACTAACGCTCACTTCATTCCAAATAAAAGCCA